CGTCGTTGCAACTCTCGCGCGACGGCAAGATTGCCGCGTGGGATGAAAACACCTCGGTTCAGAGGTAGCGTTCTTTAACGCCCTCCCCAGACTGTCGTGAACAGACATGCCAGGGTCAAGCGATTATCTAGCCCTTCTAAGTAAACGACATCTCGAATGGACGCGCTATGTATTGCCAAGCGAGAAGCAGCCTGACGTGTTGCCTTGTATGCCGGTCTATCACGGCATGCGACCATCACCGAGCCGTTAGAGGAACTGCGCCTTACGCTGTCCCTGCGCTAGACGCTGCAGTAGTTTGTACTTGTATGCATGCACTCCACTCATACAGATGTGTAGCTAGCGAGCCTCACTCTTCCTTTGTCTTTGCGGCTCTGCGCAATCACTTCCCCTTCTGCTCGAGCACGTCACTGACGTAGACTATCCTTGAGGCCGTCGATTGCGCAAATAACTCAACCCTCAAAGTGTCTAACGCGATCCGACCAGAACCAGTCACTGCGACAGCTTGTCACCAAAGAACGAACGTGGGGCGCGGACTTGTAGTAATGTTTACATAATTCATACTGAAGGACCCAACGCCGAGAGGACGGAGTGGGTCCAGCCCAAGGAATATTAGGGCAGGTGGTTTGGCCAAAAGATACCAAAGCAAGCAACGCAAACAGATGACGGCCGTAAGAATACGTACATGCGAACAGTAAGACATACGAATGTAGAAAGTACAACAGGAGGAACCAAGTCCAGAACAAGACATGTACGAGTACATGTATACCAAGCCCACCCGAAACAACCGTTGACTTGACGTCGGGTATCATCTAAAAGGAAGAAATGTGTGAAGCAACTGGTATCGTACAAGGCCGATCGCCAAGTCACTCCGAACCTCGACGAGGCTCTTTTTCCCCCAATTTTTGTCAGACATCGATCATGTCGTCGGATCCCTGACTAGGTGTCGGATCAGAACAAGACCACGCGCGCATGCGTATGATGATGTCCAGATCCGGATCCCCGTCTAGTCAGGAAGCCTCGGCGGGAGCGAAGAACAAGACGATCTCGCCTCTGTCGTTCCTTCTGAGGCGCAGATCCTTCCAGAGCTCTTTCTCCTCTTCCGCCTTGGAGGGCGCACGATCGCGCTGCTCGGAGCGCTCGCGGTGGTATCGTTTCAGAGCCTTGTTGACACTCATGCCGCGCTCAGAGTCTGGTCCTTTGGTAATGAAGGACATGAACAGCCCCGCGCGCGCATCGAAGTCTGCCGAGGCATGTGCGACGTCTCCACTAGGGCGCACAATAAGCTGGCCTTGGCCATCTGGCTCGGGAGAGTTTGTTTCCGAACGGTGGTACTCAATGGCCTTCATGGGCTTGCGCTCTCGCGGTGCGGGCGACACCGAGGACGAGTATTGGCGGCGGCGGATGCGACGAACCTCTGTGGTAGAATCCTCCCGCTTCTTCTTAGGCCTGATCTTCACAAGAGCAGTGTTGGCCTTGCGCTCTTTGCGTTCCTTATTCTCCTTCCGGTCACGATCGCGGCCTCTGTCCTTCTCCTTCTCCTTTTCCTTCTTCTCTGCTTGCTCACGTGCCTTGATGTCAGCCTTGCGCTGCTTTGCTTGTTCTGCCTCGTATTCTCGCTGCGCGCGCATAAGAGCCTTGGAGTTGCCCTGCTTAACGCGTTTCATCGGGCTCAAAGGCGAGTTGACGTAGTCACCTGAGTCATCTGGCGAAGGCGGGAACTCAGGGCGGGCAAGGAGTTTGTTCAGTCCTCCAGTAAGACCAGAGTGGAGCATCGCGGGGGCATCGGCCATTGTGGTATCCCTTTCCTCTTGGGCGCGGATCGCCGACATGTCAAGCTCGCTGGGCGAATTGCGCTTGCGCTTGCGATCGGTCTTCTTCGACGTTGTCTCCACATCGGTATCGCCCGACTTTGTCCTGTTGTGCTTCGACTTGGGAGCAGGCGTAGCGTACGAGTCGTAACGCTCACGGGAAGGGCGAACTTGCTCAGTCCCGTACGAGAATCCGTTCTGTGCAAAGGACTCGTCGTCATCGGCTACCTGGAACTTCATAACGTCTGCGATTGCGGGCATGTACTGCTCGTCGTATGCGGGCGGCTGACTGTCTTCCAGCATGCGCGCTTCATCGATGTGCGTCGTTCTCGGAACATTGGGCGTCGAGGAAGGGTCCAGGAAATCGAAGACATTGGGCGCTTCAATCGCGGCCTGCTCATGATAGCCTAGCGAATGCGCAGCTGGCGGAGGGGTGGGTGCGCGAGGCGGGGCATCCACGACTGCGACGGCGTTGCCATCGTCGCGCGCGTCTTCGACGTATGCATTGTGGGGCGTGAGTGCTTGCGAGTTGTCGTGGTAGGCGCTGTCCCGCTTCTGTTGCGGGCCCTTCTTCTTCTCTTTGTAGAGTTTGCCCTGGTACTTCTGGTCTTCGGTTATGCAGGCCTGTTTCGCGTCTGTCAGCCACTTTGAACAATGAAAAATCGAACACGGCGCAATGCGCAGTGCTGGCGCAAGTCGTGCAGCAATCGATAGGCGTTGTTTCGAGGCCGGCAGATCGTCATATAGGGCAGGAGAAGCATATGCGTACCGTGTGGGACTTGTAGGAAGTTCCCGGGAAGTGCACCATGCAGTCGAGGCAGGTAAAGGACGCGCCATAGCATTGGTTGCGGTGGCCGTCAAGCTTCTTCTTTGTGAGGACGTCTCCACAGTTCTAAGCCGTCACAGTCAGCATACGATGCATGGCTACGGCAGGGGCGCATGGTGGGGGAGAGGTAAACATGGGACATGGGGCTCAAGTACCTCGCAGGAGAACGACACCATGGTGGGAATGCGGTTTCGATGGGCAAGGAGCGGTGAACAGCTGGCAGACGGTCAATGGAGGAGAGGATGGAAGAGTCGGTGTGGGGAGGGGGCGCCGCGTCGTTATCACCCCTCGCTGGCCCAGGGAAGGTTTCAGTTGTTTGGGATACAACAAAAGTCGGTACAGCGCTAAGTTGCTTTGGGAACAGGCCCCTGTGACAGTGCGCGCCTCGCGACTCTCCCGAAATACATCAACTGACCGCGCATCGCAGCTGCAGCCCGTTAGCGCCTGCGAATCGCTGCACTTGAGCCACGCGCCCGCCGAACTGGTGGGCTTGGTGGGCTGACCAGGGCCTTCTCTCAATGGCTCGCCGACCTGGAGCATCAAAGTGCCATGACGCACTCGTATCACACACGGTCCAGAGGGGCACAGTGTCGCAGGTAGAGTGCGATGCTTCGTTCTACCATCCTTCTATCATGCTTGATAAGGGCCTCTTGGTGGCTCTCCTCGCGACAGGGCTGTACCTGTCCGAAGGCTGATCTCTTGAACATTCATTCGCTAGGGCATTGCTAGGGCAATTTCGAGTCCGGTTTACATCCCACCACCACAAAGCCACTGCGAGACACTGCCGTGTGAAACCCCGCCGACGAACTCTGCGATCTGCCGGGAAGGCCGGAGCTGCTCCGTCGATATCTTTCAGCTATCGTCTTGACTATTGGCTTATTGGCTCCCTCCCAGGTCGCGAGCAGCCATTTGCGGCGTAGCAGGTACCCGCAAATAATGTATCGTGACCAAGACGCGACCCGTCTGCGCAGCGCAATGTCTCGGGCATTGCGCATCAAGTCCGCTGCGCCATCCAACCCCAACCTGCATGCAAACACAACCTGCATGTTTCAACATGGGGCTTTTGCGGTCGTAAAGGATACATTGTCAAGTGTATCCTTCAAGGCGATGCGCTTGCCTGCTGATCTCTCTGCCACTCTAGCGCTTTATCATCCGGGGTCTTATGCAGCTGTGTCTTTGTTCGATGTCGGATCGTCGTCTCCACACTGGGTGTTGGTGTGCGCGGTCAGTACATGTCTCACATGTGGTTCGTACAGGGACACTACTTACACCGCAATCATACGCGTCGCCTATGTCTTCGCAGTTGAACTCCGGCTTCCCCAGCCGCTTGTTGACGATGTTGTGTACGTAGCAACCCCACATGGCAGCCGCTGTCCGTGACGAGACCTGGGGAGGGTACTTGGCAAGTACTTGTCCGAAGTGCTCTGCGCATTCTCCGCTGAAATCCCAGTCAGCGCGTGACCTCTATGTATTGAACGCCGAGCAGTGTAAGACATACCAGGGGTATAGGCGTTGGAACAGGTGTACATATGACCGCAGCGCCTCTTGCTCCTCGTCGGTAGGGCTTTCGGGGAAACGAGCGAACGTTGTGTGTAGGACTTTCCACGCGGCGCGACCGAGTTCTGCCCTGCATTTGCTTGTCAGCCTGCCTCCTGTGACCTGTGTGATGCCCGCGCAGGCCGTGATGCACGTACTTCGCCGTCGCATTCTCTAGTTTTGGCGCGATGGCATGTCCTGTGAGCACAGCTTCACTGGTACGGCCTAGTTTCTTCTCGGTCGATGGCGATGCTAAGTGTGCTGGTGTCACCTTGTAGGGTCCTACTAGAATGAATGAACAGAGGGCGAACACGACTAGGGCAAAGACGACGAATCTAGCCCGGAGGCCAGTAATGCGGATCATTGTAGAGTAGGTATACTAGTTCTCTGAGACGAGAAAGCGAGGTGTTAGGGCGGTAGGAAGCGTTCCATGGTTCACTGTAGAATGTGAAAGGCTGCCATCCATGGCCACGCACGCGATGCCTCAGATAACGCCAAGCATTGGGGCTTCGCAGCATCACGCCCGAGTGGTCCCACCACGCGCGGGTAATCTGCAGGTACGTCTGCGCGATCGAAGCTAGTTCGCATTGGAACAACATCGTCAGGGCTCTCCGCCATGGGAAATCTACAATTTGCGGGCGGGTGGGCTTTTGATACATTGCGACGGCTGCCGAGGGATATTACCGGGCTACGTCATCCGATATCGCAGTAGGGCTGAGCTTACTGAGCCTCCGAAAGCGTTCAAAACTTTGGAATCGCCAATTGACTGACCTGCATATTGACTCGCACTTCAGCACACGACACCCCAAACCACTTCAAATTCAACAGCAATGTCAGACTTTCCTCCTCCACCAGTCGACACCATTGGTATGTCAATTGCTACCCCGGTCGTCGGGACGTTCCACACGCCGCAAAGACCCGTGCTAATTCAACCGCAGACTGGAGTAACGTGGGTTTCAAGATCCGGGAAGGTAAGGCTTACCCTGCCGTAAATAACTTGAGCACTTGTCTGCGTTCAATCTTGGAAGAGTAGGCAACCTTAGAAAGCCTACTTTTGCAGCGTTCTCACACCCCCACCACACAGTCATCCATAAAACGCATTTGAGTATCTCCTAACTTCGTAAAGTCGCTGGCCATGTTGAATCACACTACTCTAAGGAGACCGGAAAATGGACCCCTCCAGTCTTCGTCGAAGACCCATTCCTACGAATCCACGGTATGGCACCGGGCCTGAATTACGGAATGCAGTGCTACGAGGGCATGAAGGCTTTCCGTGCACCAAACAACACTATCAACATCTTCAGGCCCAGCAAAAACGCCGAGAGGATGCAGCACTCAGCGTCTTTCATTTCTATTCCTGAGGTTCCGACAGACCATTTCCTCGCCTGCTGCAGTATGGCCGTGGGAATGAACGCGGCGTACGTACCGCCACATGAAACAGGCGCCGCAATGTACATCCGACCACTGCTTTTCGGTAGCTCGGCGCAACTGGGCCTGAATCCACCCCAGGAGTACACCTTTGTAGTCTACTGCATCCCAACTGGTGTTTACCATGGCTCAAACCCAGTAGATGCGGTTATTCTTGAGGACTTTGACCGCGCCGCGCCAGAGGGCACTGGATCGGCAAAGGTCGGCGGCAACTATGCTCCAGTATTACGGCATAGCGAGAAGGCGTACAAGGCAGGCTATGGTATTACCCTGCATTTGGACAGCAAGACTAGGAGCGTTGTTGATGAGTTCTCGACATCTGCTTTCATTGGCGTAAAGAAGGACGGCGACAAGGTCAAACTCGTCGCATCCAACAGCAAGAACGTCATCCAGAGTGTCACAGGAGACAGTGTTCTCAGGATCGCAGAATCCTTTGGCTGGGAAGCTGAGTCTCGAGAGGTACTACAAATGTTCTGTCAATGGGTACGGTGAGCTAACAATTTCAGATCGCCTATGACGAACTCAAGTCCTTTGACGAGGTCCTTGCTGCTGGAACCGCGGCGGCTCTTGTACCTATCAAATCCATTACTCTGCCTTCCAAGGACGACAAGTTCACATACGCAGAGGCACAACAAGAACCAGGCCCAGCGTGCAAGAAGCTCCTGTCGACCTTGAAGGGTATTCAGCAAGGAAAAATCGAGGACAAGCAGGGCTGGCTGTTCAAGGTACAGAGGCCAGAGCAGTTCGGAAAGCAAGATCAGGCAAATGGTGCCAAGATAGTTGGACAACTGCCTTAGAAAGGCGTGTCAACCAAGGTTCAAGCGTGTACCATTTAAAAATCGCAAAAGTCTGAATGATTGCCACCATGGTTACAACCCGCCCCAGGTTGACCTTTTAAATCTACATGAAGGAATTGTGAACAGTGTGAGACTGAACAAAACAAACGTGGATTACATCTCCGCTTTTGCTTTGTCCTATACTTAGACGCGACTGTTACAACCCAAACACCCGACAGCAAGACCACGTGCTTGAAACGAAGAAGACGATCACAACACCGGAAACGCGGAGCTTGCAACGGCGATATCTCGCGTTAAAGGTGTTGGTGCCCCAGGAGTATAAGTGCCGAGGCGGCCAGAACTATTTCCTCGACACCCCCACGCAGTCTAGCCCCATACGCATACGTCATCCCTGCTTTTCACCCGCAGAACCCACCTGCATCTGCATCATTCGAGCGCGCGTCTACCCAGCAGTGCAACGAGACAGACACCCGACATCCCTACCCTTCCGCATACCCACGAGGCCCGCACCCTCGATTAGTCCTTCGGCAGTTACCGCCTCGCACAGAATAACTGGCACGCCGGTGCCACACGATCCATCCATAGAGTCACATCGCAACCGGGTGCAACATGCCTGGATCGTTTTCGAGGATTCGCGACAAGGCGAGGCGCCACTTGGGTGATCCTAGTCCGGATGAGGCCTATCTTTCTTGTGAGTCTGCATCGAGAGAGTGCAAGAGGGTGAAGACTGACTGATAGTAGATCACGATGTGAGGGGTGTGTACGCGTCGCCTATTCCTTGACTTGCGCTTCTATGCGCTTTTGACTAATCAACGACCATACTGACGACTACAGTGACGCGAGCCGACTTGGACAGTATCAAGTCTAATGACTGGCTCACGGACAATGTGCGCATACCACTTCCTCCCAATCCACCACAGTCATGACTAACGCATCAACAGGCAATCGCCTTCTGGCAAGAATACCTCGAGCGCGAAGAGCTCAACGCCTTCCCCAAGGCCTCCATCGTCCTCCTCCGCCCCTCCATGTCCTACATGCTCATGCAAAGCGCCGAGCCCCTCTCCCTCAAAGAAGTCCTCCCCAACTTCAGCCACACGACCCACGTCTTCCTGCCGATAAATGACAACACCGATGTCACACAAGCCGAAGGTGGCTCGCACTGGTCCCTCCTCCTCGTGTCCATCATCGACGGCGTGTCCTTCCACTACGACTCCATGACCCAGTCCAACGAGCGGGAAGCGCGGAGTACGACTATGAAGCTGGAACAACTGTTGGGCAAACGACTGCGGTTTATCCCTATGAATGATAGTCCGCAGCAAGAGAACGGCAGCGACTGCGGCGTCTTCGTTTGTGTGCTCATGCGGCATTTACTGCTTAAGAGGCTGCTTCGGGCCGATGCGAGCAAGAAGGTTAGCATGAGCATGCGGGATGCACACATCAACGCGAAGGATGGACGGAGAACTATGCTCAAGGTCATCGAAGAGAGGAGAGACGAGGGCAAGCGGAGACGCTCGTAAGTTTCTCATGCTTGAGTACGACTGCAGAGAAGAAGCTAACGTTTGTGCAGAGGAAGTCACTCGCCGTTTAGGAATCCCTCCGCCCACTCCAAGAGCCCGCCACGTATAGGCGACGAACAGTCACAGGAGCGTTAGTACCCGCTGTGATCTGTATCGAAGGAAGTCCTGGCCGGGCCCTATGCTATGGAGATTAAGAACACGGACTCGTTCTCCTGTGTGAACGTAGCACTGCATACACCGCATCCCCGGTTATGAATACGTGAGCGAGCGTAGGATACCCCTCACTTGGGAGACGGACTGAATGGGGTTATGAATTACGATTTACGTGTTTTATGTTTACGCAAATATACGAATTGCTGGCATCATCACTGGAGTTGATAGTATTAATGGAACACGCATCTTAACATCTCTATATCGCGAGTTTGGCTAGGAATACATGCGCATTCGAGCCTATGTGCATGTCTAGTCTACGACAGATACCACTAACCAACGTGATAGCGCCACTCATGCATGTACAAACGTATCCAGACGCTTGCTGCCAGATCCTAGACCCCATAAAACAATAGATGCGCGTTCTACGAATCCCACAAAGTGCTTTATCTGAATCAACACGTCTAAGTCGTCTTGTCTTCTGCCTTGGTTTCCGCCGGTTTAGCTTCGCCCTTGGGCACAAGATTACCGTTGTCGTCCCGCGGTATACGTTCCCAGCCCGTCTTAAATCTCTTCTTGCTTGCGTCGAAGCGAGGCAACGGATGCGCTTCGGTATTCAGGACGATTTGATCGAGAGGGAGGAGGTCGTCGGGGGAGAAAAGGAGATACATATATTTGAGTGTCTCGGCCTGCATGATGCGTTAGTAAAGCAATTTAACAGTTTTGAAAATATGGAAACGAAGGGGGAAAAGAACTTACAAGCCAGAAACTTTCCATGTTGTCTCGCGACGGAGGAGGTACCTTGGTCACATCACCGATACTGGAGAACCCGCCATTGTCCTCTACGATAGTGTGCTTGACGAAAGCTTCAAACATATCCCAGCCCCATTCGCGGTAGATGTCGTCGCCGGTTATGCGCCACATGTACAGGAGCGACTCTACCGTTTCTGGTCGTTGGAGGTTATGCGTATCAGCTGGCTTGAGGTCGAAATCGCTCTTCCAGCCCTCGCCGTCGGGAACACTGGTGTCGAGCTCGGATTTGGACGCGAGGATCTCGGTGCGGTACATCTTGGGCGGGTCATCGAGCTGGAAGTAGGCGATTTCAGGGGCGAGACCTGTGGCGGTTACTTTGTACATGCCCATGCATGTTTTTGTGAGTTCGCGGGCGAGGGTAATGTCTTCTTCTTGTGCTTTGCCCCAGGTGGGTAGTTTGCGTGCCTCGGCGAGGGGAATACCGCCGGTTGCAGCGAGGGCGATCGTGCCAGGTAGGAAACAGACGAGGTGGTCCATCTTGGGGTGGAGTTTGCCTTCTATACCGCTTGGTCGCTCTGCTAGGACGGTGAAGTGGCTGTTCTTCGTGTATGTGAGGAGATGCTTCTTTGCGCCGTTTAGCGACTCGTTCCACATCTCTTGGTAGACTGGTTCTTGCTTCTGGGTCTGCAGGTACTGCTTGATGAGGTATTCGTAGTAGCTGTCTCCACGGCTGCCCCATCGGATCTCGCTTCCGCGGAAGGTGCCTTTGTCTGCGTAGATGAAGATGGGTAGGAGACCGTCTTTGGCACCGTTGTCGTCCACGACTTTCATTACTTTCTCAGCTACATCCCAGTAGTGTGCCTCACCTGTGAGGAACGCTAGGTACTTCATCTCGAGTTGGAGAGTGGTGGCTTCTGCTGTGGAGGACGCACCGCCGTCAGCGTGCGAGGCTTCGCCTTTAGCGTCTCTTAGGATCACACTGGCCCAGGGCACACCCGAAGGTGACTCGTACGCGCCCATGAGACGATCAGCCAGGTCGGTGGCTTTCTCCAGGAAAAGGTCCTCCTCGTTCGAGTTCTCTGGCTTCAGGCCCGGAAGCGTCTCTTGCAAGTAGTGTGCAGACAGCAGACCACCAAGCATGCGTATAGTTGTCTCGAAGGTATTGACATCCTGCTTCTTGTCGTAATCGAGACTCGTAGAAATCCATTGCCGTGCGTGCGTGAGTTCTTTGGTGAGGTTCATGATCATGAGAGTATCGAGTGCGTCCACGATGATCCAGCCCAGACCGTTGGGCTCAGCCATGTATCGACCCTTCTTCGAAACGGGGTGGTACTCGTCATAACCCCAGCCATGCTCCTCGTACGCGTTCCAACTCAGTAGGAAGGCGTCTTTGACTGCTTGTCTCCGCTTCTCCCAGTCAACTTTGCTCTTCTTTCCGGCAGCACTTCCGCCTATGTTTGATAACAAGCTCTTGCCCCTATCCTTCTCGTCTTGTACTGTGCCCACGTTTGTGCCACCACTAGACCATCCGAACCAGTAGAACAGCCCCAGCACTACCAGTGCTATCAGCGACATGCCCCTCTTACTCCGCAGGAAGCCTTTCCTTCCCCTCGCACCACCGCCATATCCATAGCTTTTCCCCGAAGGCTTGTCCTTATACATTGGCAAGCCCTTTTCGTTCCCCGGTAGTTTGTTCCAAACATTATCTTCAAACTTTCGTTGCGCGCTCTCGAAATTGGGTACGTTGCGCGGGATGGCGAAGGACATGTCTGAGTCCTGGATCGCCTGTTTCGTGGCCTCGACTGCCTGCTTGGTCGATTCGACGGCTTGCGAGGCTTTCTTGTTGGCGGCGTTCTGGAGGACGGCGAAGGCGGAGGGTGCCTTGAATGCTGTTTTGCTGCGGAGGTTGAACGGGTCGCGTGTCGAGTTCATGAGGCGGCGCGACGCGTAGTGCTGATTAAACAACAGACCAGGCGGAGCGAGTGTATTTCACCCTTGCGAAGTCTGATAACTTGTCATCTTGCTCCAGACTCCAGTCGACTTGGGAAGCAATGCTCAAAGCGCCCTCTGTCTGACTCGCCAGGTGTTCATTGCTCATCCCCGATGCAGATAGCTTGGCTAGACAGGGGTCCGCATCTCAGGAAACATCAGCTACAGCGGAGTTCAACGGGGAAGCTCCACCTTCAAAACTCAGCCTCGTTGCAACTCGCAAGCATCGCTCTTCCTTGTGGCACAGGTAGGACACGCGTACTCAGGCACAGGCACAGTATAGCCTCCTTCCGCACCCAAATTTAAATGCAGCACGATGAGGTACCTAGGTATATCAACAGCAGCTGCGATGCGGCAATGTGTTTCCAGAAGTACTCGAGCATTGTTCTTATGATCACCGCCCACCCTGCAGTATTTACGATTACCGCGTCTTGTCGTCATTGCTATCTGCGCGTTACGTGATGGCGTTCTACACCAAGGACGAGATGCGCTTCCTATTCTTTGCTCTCTTTTCCTGCCTACCCTTACACCGTTGCTTTCGCATTGCTCGCACACCTTCCCCACCAGTACATAGAACAGAGACGCCTAGCA